CCCAGCTCTGGGAAGGGAGAGTGGCCGAGGGATCACAGCATGGGACTGGGGGGGCCAGGACTCCTGGGTTCTGTTCCCGTCCAGCCGGGGCAGCCTCCACAGTTCGATGCCCCCTGGCCAGGGAGACACTCTCCCACCCCCGGTGCCCTCACTCACCTGGGGCCTCAGCCTGGCTGGTCAGGGGGGAGGGGGGTCTCTTAGGCCCATGCAGCAACCATAGCAACCCCGCCCCCTTCAACTTCCGGCTCGCCGCTGATTACTTCCGGTCACGTCCGCTGGCTCCGATTCCCCCCCTCGGCGGCTATAGCCGGGGGAATGGGGCGACCCGATAGTCAGGGCTATAGAGACTCTATCCTTTGTCCGCTAGAGCGCACGGCGATAACGGGGCCGCTCTACCCGCACCCCTGTTCGTCTCGGTGGTAAGACTGGAGCGCTAAAGCGCAGGCCATCGGTGGAATTTACGAGGCGACGCTCTATCCTCACCCTCGTCCAAGTCTCTCTGGCCAAGTGGAGGGCTTGGGACACGGAAGGAACGAGGGGGCCGCTCTACCTTGCAGTCCCCTCGTCTCGCTAGCCTGGTGGAGGACCGAGTCTCCCGGCGGAGCACAAGAGAGTAGGCGGAAGTGGGCGGCTAGAGGGGCCTGCTCGTCGCTCTATCCGCGCGGGGCCCTAGTCTCGGCGTTCCCCCCCGGAGGACTGACGGCAGGGGGAACCGCGGGAGGGGGAAAGAGAAGATGGCGGAGGCCTCGGCAGCGGCCGCCGTGTCCCAGCATCGGTTCTTCTGCCACAGCTGCAAGGGGGAGGTCAGCCCCAAGCTGCCGGTAAGGGGCGGGGCCAGGCTCCCGGGCGGGGGGCGTGACCCCCCCAGATCCCCCGAGGGAGGGGCCCGGGCGGGGGGGGGACCCAGCACCCCCCCCATGAACGGGGGGGGGGGGGGGGAACCCCGGCCCCCCCCCCCCGGGGGGGGGGGGGGGGGGGGGGGATACACCCCCCCTTCCCCCCCCCCCGAGGTGTGTGTGAGGGGGTGTCTAACCCCCTCTCGCTGGGGAAGCGGCTGGAGTTTAACATTCAATCCTTGTCCTCGGGGCTAGAGGGGGCCCAGGCAGGAGGGGTTGAAACCCCAGCCCCCCCCCCCATGTGAGAAAGGGGGGGGTTAAACCCCAACATTTCACCCAGGGAGAAAGGGGGCCCGGGGGTGAGGTTCAAACCCCCAAATCTGCCTTTTCCCGAGGAGGAGGAGGGCAAGTATGGGCTACACCTCAATGGTCCTTGGGGGTTAAACCCCAACATCCCCCCTTCCCTAAGGGAAGGGGGTTAAACCACAACATATTCCCTGAAAGGGGGGGCAGGCCTGGGGGTTAAGCCCAGCTTCAGGGATAGGCTCCTTCTTCCCTCTCCCGCCTGAGGTGGCAGGGGATGGGGGCAAGAGGAAGGTGGGGTTAAACTCCAGCACATCTCTTGGGGGTCGGGGGGGGGAGGTTGAAGGTCCCTCCAGTTGAGCCCTCTAATCTCCACAGCATAGAACTGGAAAGGGAGGTGTTCAGCCCCAGATTGTCGTTCAAAGAGATGAAGGCACAAGGGGCTAAACACCCCCGCCTCCCTCGCCCCCCCCCCCCAAGTCCCTCCCTTTAGTGTTGGAGAGGCTGAGAGGTTAAACCTCAAGCTTCCCTGATGGGAGGAGCCTGTAAGGTAGGGGGGGGTGTGGTGGGCGGGGGCTAATCCCAACCATCCCCATGGAGAGAGGGGGGGTTCCCTTTAGGAACACAAGGAAGGTTAAGCCTCACTGAGAGTGGAGGTAAACCCCAGTTCACCCTTCACAGTGGCCCCAGGTCTTCTAGAAAGCAAGGGCACCCACTCTCCTTGCTCTTGAGAGAGAACCACTGGGGGAGAGAGGCAGGTACCCAATGGCATAGTATCGTAGGACTGGAAGGGACGTCGAGAGGTCATCTAGTCCAGTCCCCTGCGTGGAGGGAGGACTTCTAATTCTCACGGTGAGAAGGGCAAATTTCAATTCCCTGGACAGAGGATCAGTAGGGCCCCAGGCAAGGGAGCTTCTCCCTCGTGCCCTAGGAAAATGGTTCTCCTTTTGAGTACCCTCTCTGGGTGTGCGTATCTCAGTAAAATAGTCCCGCGTCTCTTTGAGGTTGAAGTTGTATGCGATGTAGTAGCGGGGCTGTGTCACAGCTAACACCAGCGGTTCTGCGATAGGGTGGAGGGGTCTGGACAAGTCCAGTCTGTGGTCTCTCCATTTAGATCGAAAATGGTTAGAGTCAAAGGGTGTCCTTGTTGTGCTGCTGATGTTCTAGTGATGTCAGATCATATCTCGGTGACCTCCTGTCTTGGGAGGTGGTGTTGGGGAGCATAAGGCTATTTGAGGAGAGGAACAGGCAATGTAGCTTGACCAGATCAGACCAGGCACGTAATACCTTTTTTGCCTGATATATAGGAATGTCTGGACATTCTTTGCTAAAGGGGTGCCCCTCACCCTCCCCCCACCTCCTCCGTACCTAAGTTTCCCCACCTGTAAAATTAGGATAATACCTACCTACCTTCTGAGAGAGCAGGTATAGGAAGATTGTGAGGTTCTTAAAGTTTGTGATGCGCCTTAAGATTCTCAGAAGAAAGAAGCGAACGAAGAGCAGGGTGCTGCAGCAAAATTTCAATGATCCGGACCCTGAAACAGGGTGATGTCCTCCAATTCCTGGGAATTTCGTAGATGGGGGGCACCCTTCAGTTATCCAGACTGATTCAGCATCCCGCTGACATTTAGGTAAACCAGGTAATGCTGCGCTATTGTTCTTCCCCTCTGCACCGTGAAGGGAGGTGAGAGGGGGCCTCAAGGATTTTTTTTTACTTTAAAAATCATTCCTACATGACGTGAATGATGATCCCGAAGATTTCTCTAGCTTGCGTCACAGGTAGCTCCCGCCTCTGCAACTGCATATAGTCCTGTTGAGACTTAGGCTTGTCCATCAGAAATGCAAATCGATCATGTCTCTCTCTGCTTCCAAACCCAGCCTATGTCCCCTCAAGTGTAGCTAGTAGCCCTGCATTCTGGTGTTTTCTCTTCTCTCTCCCCCTCCCAAATCATGTTCGGCTCCCTCTTTATACTACTTGCCTCTGTTGCTGACTTATGCAGTTTTCCCTCCCATGTTTCAACTGTCCTTTGTTGTAAAGAAACGCTGCCCTAAATTGCTCGCGACCAATTCTCTTCCGTAACTGGGATTCAGGATTTCCTGATGCCATTAGTGCATTTCTTTGGGATTGGAACTAAAACTCCAGGCCTAGTATGTCCATGCATTTACGTGTCACGTTGTTGTTCGATTGTTCACCATGTAAACATCTTTGCATTGGCTCAGTTTTTTTCCTTTTGCCTTGATGTATATGTCCTACCCAGGCCCCTTTATTTCTAAATCAGAGTCTTCAGTTTTGCTCTGCCTGGGCATTAGAGCTTCTGGATTCTTTGTAAGGCTAATGACTTGACCTGGCTTTTATTATTCTAATTAGTAGCACCCAGAACCCTAATTGGGATCAGGGTTGCATTGTGCTGGGAACCTGTCCTCTCCCCCTCTGTTTGTGGGCACTGTGTTGTGCTCTTGAACATTTTCTGTCTTCCACCCCGCAGGTGGCTGCATTTCAGGTATTCTTGAGGATGATACAGACTCTAGAAATGTGAGATATTATTACCCAGACTTTATAAAATGTTCAGGACTTGTACCTGCCAAACCAATGAATCGTTTCACCTTTTCAACCTCTCCACTACAGGGGTGACAACCTCTTTATCTCTCCCTGTTCCGGTCACACATCTAACCTGATGGGAACCTGCTTGAGTTAGGGGCCACCCCACTCTTTCAGTCACCTCCTCAAGTTCTCAAGCAAGGGATCTCCCGTCAGAGTCCCAGGCAGCCACTAAGGCCCTGACGTGCCTTGTCATGTCATGTTTCTGGAGGAAGACTCTTGCACTCTTCCGAAGGCCAGTCATCATGAATCAGCCTGTGTTTTGCAATCTCTGGTTGAGGCGAACTTTCCTTAAGGAGCATGAAACTGGGAGGAGAACTCCTTAGTTCTAATGACGCTCTGACACTGATTCCCTTTGTGGCCTTGGGCAAGTCACTTCCTTTCTTCATGCCTCAGTTTCTCCATCTGTAAAATGTGGCAAACATTGGTTTCATGGGGTGATGGGTTACTGTTTGTAAAGGGCTACATTAGGACTTGCTTGCAGATCTCTGAATTATCCAGAAGTCGTCCATGGACCTGTTTATGTCCAGATAGGGTGAGATAGCTCAAACCAGTGACTTGGGCCTGGTCTACTCCAATACTTGGGTCGACCTAGCTGCTTCGCTCAGGGCTGTAAAGGGTATCATGCCCTGAGCACTGTGGTTAGCTTGACCTAAGCCCCGGTGTAGATGAGGCTGGGTCGATGGAAGGATTTTCCCGTTGCCTTAGCTACTATGTCTTATAGAGGTAGATTACCTGCTTTGATGGAAACCCCCCTTCCATTGCTTTAGTCTATGCTACCCTGCTACAATGACCCAGCTGCAACATCTTAGGTGTGCTGCTGTAGCGCAGACATGGCCTAAGGCTGAGAACTAAAGACTGAGAGTCAAGACTTCTGTTCCCAGCTCTGCCAATAACTTTCTCAGGCAAGTAACTTCCCCTCTCTCTGCCAGTTTCCCTTTGTAAAATGGGAAGTTTTTGTGCTGCTTTGGTGTGATTCTTAGATTAGGGTAACATCAGCTTAAAATAAAAATGATCTCTTTTGAGAGAGATTCTGAGATTGCTCACATAGTGGGGCGAGGAGGTAATCCTTTATACCAGGAGTCACACGCTGCTGAAAAGTGTGAGGCCATCTCCTCCTTTTGAAGCAAGTGTACAACTTCCGTTGGTGCTTATTGCATGGACAGGCCATAGGTAAATCTCTCAGAACGTCAGTGGGACAACAGATCTCGATGTTGTGCTGATCTTCAATGTAGCTGTGAATTGTCTTCTATTCAACAGCAGCGTTGTTGTGATCGACTGTATATAAAAAATACACTGCTACCTCGATATAACGCGACCCGACATAACATGAATTTGGATATAACGCGGTAAAGCAGTGCTCTGGGGGGGCGGGGCTGTGCACTCCGGTGGATCAAAGCAAGTTCAATATAACGCGGTTTCACTTATAACGCGGTAAGATTTTTTTGGCTCCCAAGGACAGCGTTATATCGAGGTAGAGGTGTATTTAAAATCCACTGTTTCCATCTCTGCCTCCTTCACCAAAGAAGAGCGAGAGAAAGGCAAGCAATCCTTGAAACAAACCACATTTATACATGGCTGGAGCTGTTCTCCTCCCAGGCTGTCACGTGAAGGCTGTGGCTGTTCACTGACAGGCACAGAAAGCGTTAACAGGGGTGTTGGATCTCAGTAGTAATGTTTCCATAGCTTCTGTAGCATAACTGCTGTGCAAGCCACCATTGGCTGAATGTGGCCTGGTTTCATTTGGAGGTGGGGGGGCGGGGAAATAAACCATGTTCCTTGACTGCCATTTCAAATCACGCTCTCTGCTGTATGCTGCAGCTGCAGCCCAGCGGATATGTTTTTATGTTAAGGTAACGGGATAACTCATCTTGATTAAACCCAGCACGGGAGAGACATCGGGAAGGCTTTTCAGAATTCAAGTTAAATATCTGCGGTGACGCAAACTGCTGCCATATGCTTTTTCAAAACATTCTTCCCCCAATGGCCCATGTTACAATGAATCTGCAACTTGCCCCTCTCTTGGGTTTTCTGTGATCCTGATCAGTTTATGTCGTCAAAAATCTCATGGTCCTTTTTGGCA